TTAAGAGACGAAACACTTCAGGGCAGGTGAAAGGCGGTAGACATTTGCAACTGAGTTTGTTGCGTGAGCAAAAACAAATAAAGAAGGGGGGGGAAAGAGGAGAATTGGGAGAAGTTTAATCTAATAATACACCCTTGTTGTTGTTTTTTTTAATTTGGGGAAACTGAATTATCGGGAAAAGCCCTGTCAAAGTTCCCAACGTTGAACGGAAGCAGGCACCCTTCATGTCCTCAACGAATGTCTTTTTAGTTCTCGCGTAAAAATTGGATTAGAGTTGGAACAAGGAGCCCTGGTTTTTCTTCTGCAGTTCCTCCTCCTTCTTCTTCCCACTCACACACCCATACATCTTCGCTTGAGTTGTATTCCTAAACACAACCAGCAAACCCTTGCAAGTGTTTTCATAGAACATAGAATAATAGAGTTGGAAGGGACCTTGGGGGTCTTCTAGTCCACCCCCACACCCCCACCACCCCGCTTGAGCAGGAGACCCTGTACCATTTCATATAAATGATTGTCCAGTCTCTTCTTAAAAACTTCCAGTGTTGGAGCATTCACCGCTTCTGGAGGCAGGTTGTTCCACTGGTTGATTGTCCTCACTGTCAGGAAGTTTCTCCTTAATTCTAGGTTGCTTCTCTCCTTGGTTAGTTTCTGCCCGTTTTTGTTCCTCATCTTGCCTTTTTGGCCCTTTTTGGAAAATAGGGGGGGGGAGTTTAGTTCCAAAAAGCTAAATATACATCATTTGCTAATCATCACTCGCACATCCATCTTGCAAGGTAGGCTCCTGAGGTTCCTACCACCTTTGCAAAAAAAACCTAACCCTGGGACACGCAAGGAAGTGTTAGCAGTAAGAAACCGCTCAGAGAAGATCCAGTGAGGGCAGTAAAGAGTTTAAACGCAAGTTGTTGTGGCTTTTCTCTAAGAGTTGTAAGTCTCTTGCTGGAAAGGCAGAGTTGAAGCAAAGCTGTCGGTGGGTTTGCTGGCCTCCAGGTCAAAATAAATAAACTTTCAAAACTGTCCGGTGTTTATTTCAGAGCAGAGGGACGGGTTCCTAAGAAAGGAAAGGAAGAGAGATGAGTACTCTTCTCTCATTTTCCCCTCGCCCTTCATTTAGCTTTTCGGCTGCCTATTGTACGTTCATTTATTTTTGAATTGCACCATCTTTCTGCACTCCGTTTTAGGGGGTAGATTTGGATCGTTTCCTCACCCGTCGAAAACAGCGGGAAATAAAACCAGGTAGACGTGGCAATTTCAAATTTAGAGCTTGCTGCTGAGCATAAGGAAGGAAGGAAGAGTCAACTGGATTCAGGCAGCAGCTAAATAGGGGAGGGGAGGGAAAGGGGAGGGAGAGGCAGGGGAAGGGAGAAGGGGAAA